TTTGCTCAGAGGGGCTGTTTTGATGGTATGGAAGTAATGAAGGAAAAGCTTTGCAAGAGCAGAGCACAGCCCAGGAAGAATGTGCATTGAAGCAGGTGGCAAAAAAATTCCCTTTTTAGGCACTTTAAAAAATAATTTGACAGCTTTTGGAAACATCAGTGAAAGGAAATGTGTTTTATTGCCAGAGCAAAAGGATTGGATTTTAACAGAAGCAAGAAGTGAGAGAAAAGAGGGATATGAGGGGCTGGAGCCCCTCTGCTCTGGAGCTGTGAGAGCTGGGAATGTTCCCCTGGAGAGGAGAAGGCTCCAGGGAGAGCTCAGAGCCCTTCCAGGGCCTGAAGGGGCTCCAGGAGAGCTGGAGAGGGACTGGGGACAAGGGATGGAGGGACAGGCCACAGGGAACGGTTTTATTTGCAAGGCCATCCTTTGAAGCTTGTTCCTGGTTCCATTCCTCTCTCAGCAATGTCTGTCCATTCCATGGCATTTCCAAGTCAGCATTTCTCATCTCCAGGTTTGCACAGAGATGCACACACTGTGTGAGCCTTCTGTCAGGCTTTGAGAATTCCCTACAAACCCATTTCTCTCTCTCTCTTGAATGGAAAAGACTTCTTTGATGGCTTTGTTTATTGTTTGTTGTGTACAGTGAAGTATCCAAGGCGCTGTTATTGTATTTGTGGGGTGCCCTTGTGGCAGGAAGGAATGATGAATCTGCCTCCATATCCTCAGAAAGCTAACTTATTATTTTATAATGCTATATTATATTAAAGAATACTATACTACACTATACTAAAGAATACAGAAAGCATATTTACAGAAGGTGAAAAAGATACAGGCCACAGGGAACGGTTTTATTTGCAAGGCCATCCTTTGAAGCTTGTTCCTGGTTCCATTCCTCTCTCAGCAATGTCTGTCCATTCCATGGCATTTCCAAGTCAGCATTTCTCATCTCCAGGTTTGCACAGAGATGCACACACTGTGTGAGCCTTCTGTCAGGCTTTGAGAATTCCCTACAAACCCATTTCTCTCTCTCTCTTGAATGGAAAAGACTTCTTTGATGGCTTTGTTTATTGTTTGTTGTGTACAGTGAAGTACCCAAGGCGCTGTTATTGTATTTGTGGGGTGCCCTTGTGGCAGGAAGGAATGATGAATCTGCCTTCATGTCCTCAGAAAGCTAATTTATTATTTTACAATGCTATATTATATTAAAGAATACTATACTACACTATACTAAAGAATACAGAAAGCATATTTACAGAAGGTGAAAAAGATAATAATGGAAACTCATGACTCTCCAGAATTCTGACACAGCTTGACCCTGATTGGCCAAAGAGTCAAAATAATTCACATGAAATTAATGAAACAATGACCTGTGGGTAAACAATCTCCAACCACATTCCAGAGGAGCAAAACACAGGAGAAGCAAATGAGATAAGAATTGTTTTCCTTTTTCTCTGAGGCTTCTCAGCTTCCCAGGAGCAAAATTTTTCAGAAAATATGACTGTGACATGCTGTTGCAGACATTGTCCCTACAACAATTAACGTACATAAATTAAAGGAGGTGGTGCAGGGCCGGTGGGACAAACCCTGTCCTATGGGCAGGCAGCGTTCCCTGCTCCTGTCTGTTATTTCAGCCTCCCTGCAGAGGGCACAGAAATGCCAGGCCCACTTCTAATTCAGGGAACTGAGGAAGGGAAATGTGAGTGGCTGCTCTCGGAGGTGATCTGCCGGGAGGAAACGCCACCAAAGGCTTCTCAGCTATCCCGGGAATGGCCTCGGCCCGGTGAGGTCCCCGCCTCTCCTGCCATGCTTGGGTTACTCCAACCTGGGAGTCGCTGCCAAATATCTCATGGGGAATCCACCAGGACTGGCAGGGAGGGATGAGCGAGATGAGCTCACGGGTATTTTCCTTGCCTCTCAGCCTCCTGTGAGTCAGTGGCCCCGCTGAGCTGGAGCTGCTGCCCTGGAGAGGGTGGGTTCCCTTTGGAGAGACCTCCATGGTCTCCAAAGGGAGTGTTGGATGGTGGGTGGAACCTGGTGGTGCACTGCAGAGAAAAGCACCTGGAGCAAAGCTTTAGGGAAGGAAGGGAAGCCCTGGAGAAATGATGACCTGGGATTCCTGCAAAAAACACACGGATGGGGTGAGGGCTCCTCTGGGATGGGGAAGCCTCAGGCAGGCTCTGCTCCAGAGCTGAGTCACGGGGCAGGAAAACTTGAAGTCACCCTCCAGATCCCCCTGGGAAGAGCCTGCTGGGGTGGACACAGCAGTGCTGGCTGAGGTCCTGGCACCTGAGCTGCCATGGGATGGTGTCACCCACAGGACAGGGACACAGGGCTCACCCTGGCACCGGGAATGGGGTGTTGGGACCCTTTGCAGGATGACGCACTTGGATCCTCACAGGTCACTCCCACAACTGCTGTGCCTGCAGGAGCACATTCCAGAAGCACAACGGTGGGGTCGTGGTCGTTTTAAAAAATCTCTACAAATCCATTTCCCACAGGGCTGGGGTTAGGGGAGGACACAGGGTTTGTGCTGCTGCCACACCAGAGGTGACAACAACTCTGGGGCTCCTTGTCCAGCATTATCCTTGCACCCGGCATCTTTTGATCCCAGATAAAACAATTATGACCCTTTGGAATTGCCTCTTACACCACCAAACTCCTTGGGTGCTTGGCTGCTTCCCCCTGGCTCTGCTGTGTCCCTTCCCTCCCGGACAGAAAAATTCCCACTTCCAGAGCCGTGGCACTGCGCCGATGTGGCACTGCCCTCTGCTGTCGGTGCCTGCGGGGACAGCGCCCGAGGCCACTGCTCCGAGTAGAAACACCGAGATTTATGTCACCTGAAGGACCTGGAAGCCACAAAGCTGTCCCAGGAGGATGCGGCACGCACGGTCCCCAGGCATGACAAACAGCAAAGCCCTGGAGGAGCCACTGCCTGCTTGGGCTTCCCTTTTTTCCCTGGCTGGAAGCAGAAGTGGGGACTATTTTTGGTGCTGCCTCGCTTTGGAAAGAGTCACACACAGCCAGGGCATCACCCCGGATCTGGCACCTCGCTGTGGGCAGAGAAAATGAGTAACAGCAAGGGTCTCACTGCCTTTCCATGACCCACAGCTCAGCCAGGGGCTGCCTGGAGGAACTGGAGTTTCCTTCCACGTGCTGGGATCACCAGCTTCTTGGGGATGTGCGTGGAAAATGACTCTTCAACTGCCTTTTCCAGCAGAGAAACGCTCAGGAAAAGCCTCCCAGTGATAACACTGCTTGTCCTGGCCTCCACCTACAACCCTGTATTGCCTTTTCCCAAGCTGGAAGAGCTCGGGTGGCAGGATAAGGACACTCAGCATGACCCTGGCACTGGTCCTATCTCCCAAATTCTCCTCCAGGAAAGGCCTCTAGATGGGGCTTTAATGAAATATTGCTCTGGCCTCTGCCAGGCCATGGTGGCCCCCATGGGGCTTCTGACCCCCAGCACCCACAGGGGCTGACTTGGTGCCACTTCACTAGGTGAAGGAAGCTGAGATATTCCCAGATAATGGTGAATCACATGGATTTGAGGAAGCTGGAATGGATGTGACACCCACCCCCAGCAAGTTTCAGCCCCCCAGCCCAAGGGGTGCTGCTGCAGAGCCACAGTGGGAGCCCCACATCCCATGCATGGGCGGATGTGGGAAGATTTGAATGGTGCTTTTCCAAAAGGCTGCTTTTGTTTTGGCAAAAATGTGGTCAGGGACTGGGCTGAGATGTTTAAAAAAAAAAAAATAATAATTAAAAAAACCCCCTTCCTCCTTTTCACCCCAAAAATAACAGAATCCACGCAGTTTGCACAGTGCTGGAAAGACAAAATGCTCAACGGTATGGTCAGAGGTGAGAATAAATTTACTGAGCTCCCAGTGTCACTCCAGGAGGTATTCCAGGACAAAACGTTCATCCCCATTAACTCTCCCCCTGTGTGGCTCCTGAACTGGTCTGTCCACGGATTCTGGGGGTCAGGAACAGCAGTGACCCCATTCTGAGCACCCGAGGGTCTTGCTGCTCATCATGCACCAAATGTCACCTGCTGGGCACAGCTCTGTGGGGCTGAGCTTAAACCCCCAAGGACAGTGGCTTTTGAGATGAGAGCCAGGTGCCAGGTGTCCTCTTGCCTCTGTCCCCACGGGGACACGGGCTGGATCAGGCAGCGTGATCACACATGCTCAGGAGGGGAACCTTCCTGTTCTCGGCTGCTGGAATTACCTCCAGGATGACGATGACAGTGACATCGACAGACCTGGAAAAACGCTGCCGGCCAAAAGGGTGACATTTAGGGCATTAACTGCCTCCCCCCTGGGCTGCTCGGTGTCCCTGCACTGCTCGCAGCGGCGTGGGTGTGCACACGAGCGTGCAACGCCTGTGCCGTCCCACATCCAACCTCTGCACGACTGCCCAGATGTGCCAAACCTCCCCCTTGCCCAGCTGCCCACCCCTGGCACATCCAGCCCTTCCACGACTAATGGATTCTTGCACAGCTGCCCAGATGTGGCACACCTACCCCTTGCACAACTTCCCTGATCCTTGCACGACCACGCAGCTCTGGCATACCCCATCCTTGCCCAGCTGCCCACCCCTGGCACATCCAGCCCTTCCACGACTAATGGATTCTTGCACAGCTGCCCAGATGTGGCACCCCTACCCCTTGCACACCTGCCCTGATCCTTGCACCACCACCCAGCCCTGGCACACCCCATCCTTGCCCCTACAACACCCACGCCTTGCACACCTGGCCCTGCTGCCCATGCCATGCCCAGATGCCAATCCCTCGCACACCCACCCGTGGCACACTCATCCCTCTCCCGCCTGCCCTTCTCGCTCCCCCCCGGCACTCTCACCCCTTCCCCACCGTGTCCC